CGCGTAGACATTTCCCTTTCAAAAAAAATTTACACACCAATCGATCGATCGACGGTGTAATGGATTAATCGACTTCGATGCTCCACCGACCACTCCCTATTGTCGTCTTCTGAATATATTTTGAAAGATACTGATGATGAGTCCACTACTACATCGATCATTTATCGATTGACGTCGATCCATGATTGAACAACGTTTTATTGACCAGTATCCGTCGATCAACTAAAGCTACCACACCAATGGAACAACATCGATTGACGTCGATGTGCTTGCTGTGGCTCATAGACATCTACATCTATCCTTCTTTGCGAAAAAATGCAGATGCGTTGTCACCCGTGAGGGCTAAGATGGAATGCCTCTTTTCCAATAAAAAGGTTCTCCGATTCTCTACATGCAGCATACGAAACACAGCAGTGTTAAGCTGCTATTTTACGCTGGTAATCTGTGAGAGCGTGGTCCTTCCCCGGTCGAGCCGCCCCATTCGTGCTACAACTATACTATTAATACAGCTGCAGCATGGCTCTACCACGTAAAAATAATAGGTTCGATTCTAGCCGATATTATACAACAAGAAAAATTTTTACGTATTCTTTCATACTTTTATTATTTTCTATCTGTTTGCGTACATTTTATACGCAGTAAACATAGAAAAGTCACGCTTCAGCTATGTTATTGTTGTGGCACGAATGGGTGAATGATGAATTCTTTTGCCTCCACACCACAAGGATCAATAAAATATAATAATATGACGTTAGTAACTTCGACAAGCTATTGTATCTAATCCAATCTGTACTGATTATTTCGTGTCCATCTTTCATGATAACGATGATGGATTATATTTAAATGTTACTTGAGTGCATGATATTCATTTTTTTCTTTACTTCGCCCTTTTGTCGTAAAATTGAAGTGACAAAGGAACTTACAGCATACCTGATGGTAGAATAGCAGCTATATTATGGTTGTAGCACGAATGAGTCGACTCGACCGGGATAGGACTACACTCACAGAATACGAGCGTAAAATAGCAGCTTAATGCTGCTGTGTTTCGTATAGTGACTGTAGAGAGCCGGAGATTCTTGTTACTAGAAACGAAGCATTCTATCATAGTCTTCAGGGTGACAAAGCCTATGCTATATTCTTTATTGATGATTGATGTAGATGTATGAATGTAGATGAAACAATAAAAAAAGCTTTAACCTATTTTTATTTCTATTTCGCTGATATTACTTGTCTGTGCTTTCGTATTTTTGACTAAATAAATAGAAGCCATAGTCATTTTAATTATTATTTGAAGTGTAGGATTGAGGAACACAGCACATTTGAAAGAAAGAAAGAAAGAAAAAACTATTTATTTGATATACACATTTTACACACATTAAAAAATATATTAAGTATATACAAAAGCAGCAGGTAGAAATAGGTAAGATAGTGGTACCAACCTAGACGGACCCAAAGGCGGGCCGTGATTCCTGGCATAGTCTATCAATCTCATGAGTCTTATCATAGTCTGCACGTCTGCCGTCATTATACCCACATCTGTCCATGTCCTGTAAGCCATGAGATCTCATGGTTTGCGACAGATGCATTTTCTCTTACCACACCCACGCAATAGAGTTAAGTATTCTCTTACGTAACCACCAAGCGGCTTAACTGATGATTAATAATAAGACTTACTGCATTTACATTAAGACTTATCGTATAAGAGCCACCATCAATCATTGCAGCTCATTACCGCCCTTCTCAGTTCACTGCTGTATATAGGCCTCCACTAAGGAACGCTCCATAATCATTTTAAGTTATATTGACTTAATATATTGCTGCGACATTAATATAGCTGCAACACGGCTCGACCTAGTTTTTATTTTTTAAACTAAAGACTAAAGTGACAGTGCAGCATGGCTATACCAAGTAAGTTACGTGGTAGAGCCATGCTGCAGCTGTATTAATAGTATAGTTTTAGCACGAATGGGCCGGCTCGACCGGGGAAGGATCACGCTCTCACAGAATACCAGTGTAAAATAGCAGCTTAACACTGCTGTTTCATATAGTGAGTGTAGAGAACCGGAGACCCATTTTACTGGAAAAGAGGCATTCTATCTTAGTCCTCACGGGTGACAACGCATCTGCATTTTAATTCGCAAACTAAGATAGATGTAGATGTTTATGGGTCACAGCAACCACTTACAATCAGGTGGACTGTGTGCTCGTTTGTCACCCTTATTCTATTAAAAAAAGCGAACCTACAGTTCACCTGATGGTAAGTGGCTATTCTAGTTCATAGACAACTGCAGTCATATTTAAACAAAGAAGGCTAGTTGCATTGCCACCTCTGAAGACTTGATGGAATGCCTCACAGCCTGTAGTTGTACTGGCTCTCAATACCCTCCAGACAGGAATATAGCAGTGCAAGTACTGTTTTAGGCAGCAGAAATAGGTTTCTACCCGGACGGATTCTAACGCAAAACAGTGTAGGTAGGACACTATTCCTTTTATGGAAAGCCATAATATTTTTCTGGTGATTTGACACCCACGGGACGAAAAGAAGTGATGGATTCACATACGCCACTATTACACGGCAACTAACTTTTTAACCAACTCCAAAAAAAAGGAGGAGGGCACTCAATTCTACTGTATTTTTTTTTCTTTTATGTGTGTTACCTCACAACTTGTTTCTGGGTGAACCGATTTTGATGATTTTTTTTATTTGAAAGCTGGTGCTTTTCATGTGGTCCCATATAAATGTCATCAAGATATGACCAGTAGTTTTTTAGTTATCCTTAATAATGCGTATTTGACTTCCACTACATTGATGATATTCTTATTTTCTGCCGACTTCCAAAAAAGAGACGGTACTCAATTCGACTGTATGTTTTTTTTATGTGTGTTACCTCATAACTTTTTACTGGGTGAACCGATTTCGATGATTCTTTTTTATTTGAAAGTTGGTACTTTACATGTGGTCTCATATAAATTTGATCAATGTCTGACTAATCGTTTTTGAGTTATTGTTAATAATTTATATTGAAGTCAGTTGTACAAAACTTTTAATTTTTAATTATCTATATTGAAGTATGTTGTGTAATTATACCACTTGTAACTATTTACACTTAATATCAATACGTATCTTATTCTTATACCTTCAATTCAATATCCATCCATTACGGCCTTATTACAGCCTAAAAATATCCACTATTGATTGCCTCATATGTGGCACTTTGCCATAGTTGCCACGCTTGGTAGGTGGGTTGGCAACCGCACTCTTTTTATTATTTTGATTTGTTATCAGGAATATGCTGCTGCCCATCTCCTGTTACAGTTTCCATCTGTCGCCTCTTAGAATACGCAAGGGACGTTACGCGGTAGTGGATATTCTTACACAGTCACTACCTATATTATAGGCATTAGGCACAATGAAAATGTTTCTCATTCTTGAAGGTACGTTGCTGCGTAAGCCTTATGCACATACAAAATATATTACATTAATACAGTGTAAACAACGCGCTTGTGTGCGTTTTGTTTTGACGCCATGACGCACACAAATTTATTCGCTTACGTATCATGCAGTAATAAACTTACACACACAAGCGTTCTAAATGTGAATGACGCAGAAAGGGGAACGGGAGGTCGAGGGGGAGGGGAGAGGAAACCAAACGCAAAAGATGGTTTATATAGGCTGAACTGAACGCAGACAGAGACAGTTTAATTCTAGAAGCAAATAAAGAAAGTACTTCTTAGAGCACATTTCCGCTTTAAACCGGGCTTACAGCCAGAGAAATGGGTATGTAACTTTTATTTACTATAACCACAGAATAAATAACTATAACCTAAAGCATCTTTTTCATATTGGAAATATATACGTCCAATACAAGATGTATATTTCTGCAATGTTGGTTGTTGTTATTTATCAATATAATATTTAGTATTTTTTATCATGTATTATTGGTAGTAATTCTTAATTACTACTTTTGTAGTCATGTCTTGCTTTATCTATATTGTTTGTTCTTATCACGTTTATGTTGGTTTTATTTGTTTACATTACACGTATCTACTGAAGAAAACCACCGCCGGTTGATCAATGTAGAGCTTGTGTAGAGCTTAATAAATGTAGATTCTCCTATTTTATTTACTACACCAGATCCAAGACTTTAAAATCAGCTGATGTAAATACGTGTGACTCACATTCTGATTTAGATACATATATTTTGTATATTTAAATCTCAATGAAGTACATTTCATTGTCCCTAAAAGTTAAAGCAAATTAAAAATTAAAAACACACCAGCCCACAAAGTAATGCAATGTAGATAATAAATTATGATAGCCACCAATCACCAATGATTTAAAATTACGTCATTGATAGCCGGTGTGTATTAAACATTGGAAGAAATTAGGGGAAATGCATTGTTTATTTCGGAATATAGAACATTTCCATAATATCTGTTTTAAGATAAAGTCAGACAGAAAAAACGATTCAGGTTCCTGAAAATATAAAATCGTTCCCGTAAATGACCTTGAACGCCATTTTGTTTCATTGAAGCACGGACGGAAAATTGCATAATGGCGATGTCGAGTTTTTTCTACTCGTATGATTCATAATGGGAACGGCATGCCCTCGCGTGACCTGACCACAGTTAATCAAATAGAGCCACTCCACTTAAACATTCCGCGTTCTTCGTTTAACCTAATTAGATCGTCTCCTTGTTTATGATACCTACATAAATAAATATATATATACCTAATAGATCGAGCATCGAAATTAAGGTTATTCCACAGAGTACTTTTTATATACTGGGTTATTCACATGCCTATGGTTTAACAAATTACTGAGTCGGCTATTTGTTTACTATTTTTGGATATGTAATACAAATATAATGTTAAAAGATTTTTTTTTATAGAAAGGTAGAGTCGCCAGGCAATAAAGAAAAATATAGCTTAGCTTAGTCACAGATAGAGTAATCGTTCAAATCGAATATAAGACAGATTTAGTATTGTTCGCAGGTTAATGTTCGATAGATTTTCGATTAATTGTATTATCTATATAGGTAAATGTTCACGGCTTTGTGGTGGCCTTTGAGCCCCGGCTTAACCTACTGGCATCCGGCTACACCTAGTTTTAGCAATGAATAAATTGAATATATCTAGTTGTTGAAACTTAGGTTTGGTTATGAAATATAATAAATATATGTAATTATATAATTATTGAGACAAAGATTCGATCCGATTATCCTACGAAAAATTTAAACAAAATTTATATGAACTAAAGTTTATAATTCCGTGAATTTTGAATTGTCTTTCTTTGTCTTTTTTATTTTGGATAAGGTTGCTTTGGGTGGTGTGCTAAAAAAAATTAAAACTAATATTCATCTCTAAATATTGTTTAAATATTATAAGTATTATATAGGACTTGTATTTTGCACATTTTGTTATAGTCGCAACAAATGGTCACTAGTCTTCTTAATAATCCTCATAATCTATTATATATTAATTATTAAATATCTTATAAAAGTAGTAATGAATAAACCTATAGCATCATGAATATTTTTAAGGTTGCTTTTTTTATCTTTCATATTATTGCATAAGCAACCCTGAACTTGTGTATGACGAATAAGACAATAATTCAGTTTAGTAATTTCATCTTATTTTCAACCGACTTCAAAATGGAGGAGGTACTCAATTCGACAACGTGTTTTTTTTTAATGTGTGGTTACCTCATAACTTTTTCTGGGTGAACCGATTTCCATGATTCTTTTTTTTTGTTTGAAACCTGGTCCTCCTTATGTAGTCCCATATAAATTTGATCAAGGTCTGACCAGTAGTTTTTGAGTTATCCTTAATAATTGCAGTCGGTTGTACAAAATTTTTAATTTTACCTTTTGTTGAAATATTTCAACAATAACAACGTATTCTCTTTCTTTTGCAGATACATTAAATATAAAACCGTTAAGTAAGGATATTGAGTGGTCTCCGGATGCGTCAAACGGCGTGGAGGCCACAGGGGTCGCAGGGTTCCAGGCCCCAGTCGATATGCCGTCGACCTCCAGCGAAGAGCGCGCCATACGCCGCGTCATGGGCCGCTGGGGCGCTGAGTGGTTGAGCTGACTCGGTTCCGGGCTGCAAAAATCAACCGGTCCCCAATGGCCGGTCGACCACCCCCTGCCACCTCCAAGGTGGGGGGCCCCCCGCCCGGCTTTGCACCTCTCTCTCCAACAGTACGAGGATTTGGTGGCTAAAGCCGAGGCGATATTGAGCCGTCTAGTCGTGTCCGAGAACTATGACTCCGTCAACAACTTCCTCACTTTGTACGATTCTTATATGGCCTCTCCGGATCAAACTTTAAAGGAGTTCTTCCCGAAATACAACCCACCGATTAGGGCCCATAAGCACACCTGCGTCGGCTTAGGGATGGAGGTCATAAAACGCTTGAAGACCTTAGAAAAAGATTACCCTGGAATCACTAAGTCCATGATGCTGGTATCGTGTGACGAGAACATCCAGGACGTGTTGGACTACACAACATCTAGTCCGGGTCCACAGGGCTTCCTGATTGAAACGGAGAAAGACCACGTGATGGTCGCCATTCATGTAAGGATTGGAGGGAGACAAGGCGTTTTCTTATCTGACTTGGGCTACCACATCTCTCGTGTGGTGACTGTTATGGCTGATCGATGCTACCCACATACAGGTAAGGTACATAACGGTATTTTTTTGTTCCGTCACAGCTTATAAAGTCCACTGCTGAACATAAAGTTACAGCCTATATACACGTCCCACTACTGGGCACAGGTCTCCTCTCATTTCTGAGAGGGTTTTAGGGCAAGGAAAGGTCCGCCGCGCTGCCCCAATGCGTGTAGGCGAACTTCACATATCTTAGAATTTTTTTTTTCTTAACATTGCTGAACATAAGCCTCCCATACATTGCCTCATAGGGGGGAGGGGGGGGGGGGGGATATTTGCCATAGTTGCCTCGCTTGGAAAGCGGGTTGGCAACCGCAGTTTTTTATTTTTAGTCGTTATTAGGAAGACGCCGCTACCCATCTCCAGATTTGTTTCCCTCTGTCGCCTCTTACGACACCCACGGAATGATATGGGGTAGTGGATATTCTTACACCGCCACTACACGGTAAAGTAATTTTTCCATGTAACTTTAAAATATATAAATCCAAAATTGGTCAAGAAAAACTTATGTTAGTCAAAATGTTCATAACCTAAAAATAACAGATTATAAATATCCCACAGTATAGGCCTTCATATTTAACCAATTCCCGGCCTCATCCTAATGTGTTACAAATGGCTCACAATCATCGTGTTATTTATTGTCTCTGAGTATCGGATAGGCCATAGTCCATGATGTGTGAAGAAGGTTTCCCAGGTGATATGACACCTTGTCTGATAAGGAGTCAGACTGATTAAGTACCACCCTCTTAGAAATTTCTGACGCTAAACAGCAATGTACAGAGAGCCATTATAATTATAAAATATAAACTTTGTGGCATTCTAACCCATTCCTTAGTGATAAGCTATCACTAATAACGTATCATAGTGCAAATGTCAATGGGCGGCAGTTTCCACGTAAAATTAGATGGATTCTAAGGTTTTGTCTCTTAATTTTTATTAAAAAAAATATGTAGAATCTCTATGTAAGAACCATCACTTATTAATGTGACCGAGGAAAAATTCTCTTAGGTAGGAAAAAATTCTAGGTGATAATAACCCGTTACAAATAAGAGATTGTTTCGCAACTGCCTGCTTGAATGTTGCTAAGCAAAATAATCTTTAGTACGTGAGATGCTTATTTTATCTCGACATATTATATATATATATAATATTGCTTATTATATATATATAATATGTCGGTACACAAACCTTAAAATTATTTAACGTCTATCTTATTTATCATAGCTTCAGTCGAGCCGTCATATATCTAAACTAGCTAGCAAACTTAGTTCTGCAGCATATGCTGTAAAATATTGAAGACCTTACATGTGTTGAAACAACTAGATTAGTTAATTTTAGTTATTTCCATAGCATAATTTCATATGGAATCTTGCTATGAGGTAATGCGACTGACATCGAAACTATCTTTGTTTTGCAGAAGATAGTCATACAAGAAATTTATGATCTAGGTCCGAAGGAATCCCTTAAAGAAAAATCTAAAGAAATCAATATATTAACTATGGCCTTTCAATATATAACACAAAAATAAAAATAGTTTTATTAAAAATAGTGAGTCTACATTCTGTAAATACTAGGAACAAGCACAAATTAGTTATACCAGTTACTCGACTCCAGAGAGTAATTCCTTCATCGGGCTATGTATACGCTTTTACAACAAAGTCCCAGTAAATATGCAAAAGCTTATCTATCAAAAGGTTTAAATTATTTACTAAGCAGAAATTGTTTTGTAAGGTTATTATACTACTAAAGAGTACACGATTGATAATAACCCCTGGGAATGAAGTGGTCGCTACCTACCATGCTGTTTCTGAATGTTTTCATACTAATTGTATAAAATATTGTACTATAAATTGTCCTTTTTTTTAAAAAAATGTCTCGCTGGTTTCTGCTGGTTCTACCCAGGACAGAGGTTTTTTTGCGAACCAATGATAAAAGTAAAAAAAAATGAATTTCAATAATTATTATGTACTGTAATCTATATTGAATGAAAATGCTTCTATTTTATATTGTAAATAAAAATTATTCTATTCTATTCTATAGGTTGGTTCACCCAAAGCGACGAGCCGCATTGTCGCAAGGAGTACAACTATCAATTCAACGTTAAGAACAGCAACTATGTGGAGTGGCATGAAAGAGAAACCAGAGGATGCGTCGTGAAAGAGCGTCTGTCGCTTATATACATAGCAAGGGCTTATCTGACCGCGGTCAATGTCACGGAGAAGAGGAACTTGGTTTGGGATTTAAGGTAAGCTATGTTTTAAATACGCAAAATTATATACGAGGGAAAATATTTGTCAGTCGGTGATCAAGGACGAATTAAATATCCAACATTTTAATTGAATGTTTACAAAAAATCATACTTAAAAGAAAAAGCAAAACTTAAGACAAAACTCTCAAATAATATGCTGCCTAACTTTTTAGCGTATATTTAAAAAAAAAACTTTTATTTTTGAAAAAAGAAAGGATTGGTTACCTTATTATGTTTAACATTTAGGTGTTTAAAAACAATGTTGGCATAGGAGATTAAGTAAAACATTTTAAGTTGCAAAATTATTATAATTTGCACATAGTAATTTCGTTCATATTGTCATTCCAGGAGTCTTCTGGCTAGGGACCCCAAGGGACGCCTATCCGCCGGTATATATTTCCCACTAAAACTGAAAGATCAGCAGTTCACTATGTTCTTTGATAGTACCAACGGCAAGCAGAGAAAGAAGTTGAAGTTCGACACATTCTTGGAACGGCAGAAGGTGAGTGATAAATATTTGCTATTTAAATTTTTTGAAATTGGTGAAAGAAAGCTTTTACCATAGTTAAACAATTCCTCTTCAACATTATGACGTAAAATATGATCCTGATGGTGGATTTTCGATTTCCAAAAAAAAAATTACTTATTTTTCGCGGAAAATATAGTCCTTAAATATGGTCTAGATCACTTCTAGCATTGCTTTCAACCTGTGCGTGACGCTGTGAAGTTTCATCACAATAAGTTCAGACTTTCCGAAGATTAGCGTAGACAGACAAACAAAACTTTTGGAAATAGCTCGATAAACGACATTACAGACAGGCTTCACTTTTATTTATATGTACAGACATAACGCTTAAATGAGGTTAAAAACTAAAAAGCCACCTACAAAGAAGAAACTGGATAGATATCTATGCCCCCATGTTATTCCCCTTTTAATCAATACGTAACTTTTTAATCCTCGATAACGCTGATAAAAAAGATAAAACATGTCGGTATAAAGAAGTTGATAATAAAGTATCTAGTTTTGAAATGTTGTCAATATATCTGGAAGCATCTAGACTCTAGATTCTAGAGTTTAGATTTACTGTTTAAATTTATAAAGAAAAATAAAGTTTTACTTGTTACATAAAAAAAAATTAACAATATTGAGAAAATGTAGGAAAGTTGAAATACTTTAACTAAAAACAATGTAAAATTATTTAGAATATAACCATAAAATGATATCATTAAAGTGCCGACAGATATGTTCGACTTTTGGGGATCGACACTTGCGATCAAACAAAATCGAGTAATTACGTTCACTCGATAAACTAAATCGAGTAATTACATTTACTCGATTTTGTTTGACGGATGTTATATTTTTACCGATCGCAAGAAGAAAAATTTGCAAGCAGTTTTTCTGGATCGAGACAATGCGCATGCATGCGTACGTAGTAAGAAAAGCTGCGGCAAAGATAATTACTTACTAAAAGTTTTCTTCCTTGCACGACTTCGTTTACCACCAGTAATTTTTCCGGACCGATACGACCTAAGGGACTACTCCTTTTCTACAGACTACTAAAAAGGAGACGGTACTCAATTCGACTGTATGTTTTTTTTTTCTTAATGTGTGTTAACTCATAACTTTGTTCTGGGAACCGATTTCGATGATTTTTTTTTTATTTGTAAGCTGGTGCTTCTCACGAGGTCCTAAATAAATTTGATCAAGGTCTGACCAATACTTTTGAATTTTTCTTAATAATTTATATTGAAGTCGGTTGTACAAAATTTTTAATTTTAAATTATTAAAAGACCTACAACTTGCAACTGCACCCTCTGGTGTAGCAGTTGTTCATGGGCGGCGACCGATAGTCACCGTCAGCTGAGCCGCATGCCCGTTGTCCCCTCTTTCAGTAGGTAACCAGGCTAGATCTTATTGTTTGAAAAAAGCAATCTGTCTCATGACAAACTGGCATAATCTGTTAGCTTTTATCCTAAAAATCTAATTTTGCTGTCGTTTTCAGATACCTGACGAGGTTGTGGGCGAAGTGGAACAATGCAATGAGCAGCTCCGGTTGAGGGATGGGGAGTTACTCTCCATCCTAAAACACTTGGCCACCATCATGGCTGATGAGGAGTACATGACCGAGCTGTTGGAAGTCAACGACAGGATTGTCCAGCTGTCCGCCGGAAATTAGACAGGATAATGGCATGCGAAGCAAGATTAATTAAAATCTTGAAGAAGATTGAAGACATTGAGATTGTTTTTTTCTAACCTTTAATAATGATTGTGGCCTATAAATGCTATAAATAAAGGTGCCTTATATATTTGATTACATACCCAAAGTTTTAATGTATCAAAATTTTTAAAACAATGTTTCTTTTTTATAACATTTTACTATTTACTACAAGATTGAAACGGTTTCAATTAGTTTCCTTAGGAATTGTATGACGGAACTTCGAATCATTTATGAAACCAAAGTGCCTCCATCTTTTCATTAGTATTCGTGTAGTATTTTAGAAATGTCATTTATATTTTTTCTAGAATTTTTTTTTCATGTGGTGTTTATAAAAATTGAGACGAGACTACGGCTCATTTGGGGAAATAAAAATATAAAATTAATATTTGTGGTTTTAATTGAGGTTTCCTTTTCCTTTTTATCAGCCGGTAACAATCCAAGGCTGCCTCACGGCCTCTACCATTGTTGTAGCTATGCCATGGGTACCTATACCCTGAACGAAAGATGTAAATGAACTAGGTAAAAGTAAAAAAAGGTATTCAATAAAAATTACATAAGTAACTACTTATTTGTAATCTGTATTTTAAAATATAAAAAATAAAAAAAGAAATTGAGGGCTAATAATCTTTCGTTCACCAGATATCGCTAGTGGGGAACGAGGTGAAGTTTTTTTTGTTACACAATCTATATAAATAAAATGATAGAGGTTTACAGTTGTGCGCACATCACAGAAAAACTACTGGAAAGTTTCAATTAGGTTTTCTAAGTTTTATTTCTTAGACCAACTCTTAGACCCTTATCTAAAAAAAAATTGCGATATCTTCATTTAATATAAAGTTATAATGTTTTAAGAAACAACGATTTTATAAGCACTACGTGTTCAATGTATTCAAATAGTATTATATGATTGAGAAGTTGCGTTGAAATAAAATTTTATCGGTTTCTAGAAACACATGTACATTAGACCCTGTCAACTGTGTTTCTTGCAAATAAAGAATTTGTATTGTATATTAACATACTTAAAACAATGCCTCAGTTCTTTGTTCCTTATTTATTTTTACATTTTGTAACAATTTTTTTCTTTTTCTTCCGTTAGGATTATCCATATTTTTTATTAATTCATTTCTAATCGAATTAATATAAAATATAAGTAATATTACAAAAAGAAACATTAACCCTTACATTTTCCTAACAAATTACAATTCCTCGCCGTGTAATTTGCCAAATATTTCACCACGTTCCTAAGTGCTGCCGCCCTGGTGGCAAAAAAGTCGTGGATGCCCTCATTATATACACCGCCATCTATTGCAGGCTCTGCATTCTTTTAGGCATTTCTTTAAATATCACCCACAAAAAACAACAGGTGGATTCTGCCACTGATGGCACGCTAAGAGAATCTACGGTGATAGGATTGTGAAATTTTAAATTACAAATTCATTGATTGAATAAAGTTTTTTAGAATATATAATGTAACGAGTAATTTGTTAAAATACAACAATGTTTACAGTGACATCTGTCGGTGAGAATTAGAAACACTATATACCTAGTTCAACTAAATTATAAACCATGCGGGTAATAATCTTCTACTCATTAGATGTCATTAGTTAACACAGAGATAAAGATTTTAGTCACACAATATAATTTGATTGAGAAGTTAGTTTTAAATAAAAGTTTATCAGTAGAGTAATAAATTAATACACAAAACAATGCCACAGTGGTTTGCTCTTTAATCTATCTACTTTTATGAATATGTGTTGTGTTGTACAGAAAGAAATATTCACCTTTACATTTTTCGAACAAATTAATTTCCCCGCAATGAAATCTGTCAAATATTACACCTCATTTTTAAGTGACGCTACCCTGGTGGCAGATAAAGTCGTAGATGTCATTATTGCAGAACCTAAGTATTGTCTTGTTGCTTTGTGTGTATTCATAATCTATGACTGTCCCAGCAACGTCTTGGTAGCACTTATTAATAAAATAACAATGTATTATATGAACAGTACATTAGCTACATCGTAATAACTTCATCATCATCATTACAGCCCGTTACAAGTCCACTGCTGAACATAGGCGTCCCCCAAAGATTGTAATAACTTATCCTTGCTCTATTTACCAACTACAACGTTACCAAAATACATTCATGCCTCTTAGCCAAATTATGCAATGTTACAAATGGATTTAGTTAAGCAAAAATAATATAATATGTCTCATAAATGTCATGTCATGTCCTTGAGATATCAAGAATTATAGTAAAACATAGGCCGTCCAGTGGCGGTGTAAGTTATCGTAGACGGTAGCACAGAATAAATAATAGTACACGGTAGTCCGTGTACTATTATTTATTCTGTGCTACCGTCTTTCAAGTGTCGTAAGAGGCGGCAGAGGGAAACTTAAACAGGAGATCAGCAGCAGCACCTTCCTGAGAACAACTCAAAATATTAAAAAAACTACGGTTGCCAACTCGCCTACTAAGAGAGGGAACTATTACAAATATCCCCCTTATGAACCAATCAATGGGCAGTGGGGGGATTCAATATTGAGCAAATGACTTTTATAGGCTGTAATTGCAAGTATATTAGGGCTAATGATTTCTTAAATTTACGCGATTTAATTTTACGTGGTATAGCCATGCTGCAACTAAGTAGTATAGTTGTAGCACGAACGGGTCAACTCGACCGGGGAAGGACTATGCTCTCACAAAATACCAGCGTAAAATAGCAGCTTAACGCTGCTGTGTTTCGTGAGTGTAAAGAACCAGAGACCTTTTTTACTGGAAAAGAGGCATTGGATCTTAGTCCACACGGGTGACAACGCATCTGCATTTTGATTTGTAATAGAGTATAGATGTAGATGTATATGGGCTGCAGCAACCACTTACTATCAGGTGGACTGTGTGCTCGTTTGTCACCCTTATCCTATAAAAAACGCGAACACATTAAATAAAACTAATTTTTACGGATTTTATCGCGTTTAATTTAATTTTTAATTCCCGAAGTTTTCGGTGCTTTTCAGCACCCATGGTTACGGGGAGTGACTTAGGTGTTTGACTTCCCAATGTCATAGTTACTCCGGCTACCTTCAGTTTTTGAATATTAATTTTTGGTCCGATATACGCAGAATGAGCACACAGTATCTTGAAGTCTTGCATGCTTGGGTTGGATTTAATTTTATTAATTATAGGATCCCAAACAGATGGCACCACCCATTCATCTTCTCTATTGAAATTAGGATGTTTTTGAATTTCAATAGCCTCACGAATCAACGTTGGTAGGAATAAGTAGGTGTTGCAAGGATTTGTGGTCTATCAAATCTAATGTAATGGCGGGGCCGATCTTGAACATGTTCACACACTGCAATCTTCCCGGAACGTCGGTGTTTCAAGTCAGCTATATGTTCTTTCACGCGGGTTTTTATACATCTTCTTGTTTGTGCTATGTAAGAGAGACCACATTCACAATCCAGCTTGTACACTCCTGTCATATCCCTCTAAAAGACGCACCCGAAAGGTCGGGAATTAAAAAGTCCAATTAAACGCGATAAAATCTGTAAACATTAGTTTTATTTAATATATTATGGCTTTCATGTAAAATGTTATGCTTAAATATTTACTATAAGCTACCAAATGTTTATACTATTATTGCCCTATGGCGGCTGAAGAGTATCCATCACCACATTTCGTCTTGTGGTTAGAAAAATGTCAGCTTCCAATAGATGGCGGTATAATCAACCAGATATCTATGATTTTTATTTACGCCAGAACAAAAATCATAGATAATATCACAGAGTACGTTATATATAGGGCGCATAATGTACTATCATATATTTAGTAACGAACTACTTTATCTATGTATGCTCTACATGCATCTACAGGGCATAGATGTGCCTCTCTAATCTACATAATATAATATATAATAATCTAGGGGCGAGCCACTCTGACAAGTTATTAGGTGACAAAACGAGGGAAGTTGAGAAAAATACCCAGACATCCAGACTGGTAAATGGCGTCTGGCAGCAGCGTCGATGGTGTCAAGTCAAGCGCTCGGACGAGAAAACATCATTTTTGAGTTTATCTACATCTGACAGATGAATGTGATAAATAAACAAAAAAAACGGTCACCAAAATTTTCAGTGTCTATATTAAAGAAGCTGGAATATTATTAAATATATTTTAATAAGACGAGACCATACGAAAGATATGCGTGGTAGAGCCATGCTGCAGCTACATTAGTAGTATAAGTAGTTGTAGCACGAATGGGTCGGCTCGACAGGGGAATACCAGCGTAAAATAGCAGCTTAGTTTTGCTGTGTTCCGTATGAAGTATTTCGGTAGTAAAGAAATGAAAACCCCCTTTTACTGTAAACAAAAAAATCCGTCTTAGTCCTCAGGGGTACCTAATGTTGCGTCTGCGTTTTGATTCTTAATCGAGGATAGATGTAGATGTCTATAGGCCACAGCATATACTTACCGTGAGGTGGAGCGTGTGCGTTTGTCTTCATTATTCTGTAAGAAAATTTATTTCACGTAAACTGCGCATGCTAATCGTTCAGTATTTCTTTGTAAGTCATTGTGTTGGATAATCTAGCGCATTCTGCGTGTCTCGCTACATATTATCACTGTTTATTACGTAATAGTTCATATTATAGCATAACGACCTTGATAGCAAGGACAAAGCAGACTAGTTAATGAAAGTAAAGTTTTTTGCACCTATTTCATAAATTACAAAATCGCTTTAATTAAGGATGTTAAAATTATTTTTCTATGATCAGTAAATCCTCTAATTAATAATTAAATTAAACATCTTTAATATAATGGATTTCGACAAAGTAATTCTCCGAGCAATAATGCCAACCATCAACTATAGATATTAAGTATGTTTTCGATGAGCGAAATATAGGTATTAAATCAAATACATTTATATGAATTCTATATTTTGTGTGTGAGTGTAGAGAACCGG